AAAAGTACATGTAAGCAAATTAAAGAATAAATAATATTGCCAAATGAACCTAATTAATGCAATGCTCTGGTAGATGGCTAGATTTGGTAAGATAGATCTACTGTCGCGGTCCATTGATCACATAATGTTGCAGTAAATGAGGGTGGGAGGGAAGGATGTGTTTGGTTCACTGGAATGTACTCAGTTTACGGGATATTACAGGTTTACGCGGAATGTATGGTTCGCCAGATGTAAGTGGGAGGTTGGAGCAGAGGGAGGGCGGAATTTCATTTCATATTCTAAATTATTAAAAAGAAAAAGTAGTATTATAGAATGAACTTGGCTCATAGGGCAGAGGCCTCTGCCACTCTGGCAAGGTTAACTTCCCTCTCCCCAAAGGCAATGGTTTTAATTGGCCTTGTGATAAAAATGTTCAAAAAAAAAAGTAGTGTTATAGAATAATCAAAATTGAGATGAATAGTATGATACTAAATAAATAGGTGCATATAAATCTTAATAAAGTGAAAAAAATAATTATTAAAAATAATAATAAAATTTAATATTTTAAATAATGTGATTCATGTCATGTCATTAGTTCATAAAATTCATTTTCTTTATCAATATTCTCTTAAAAAAGTAATACTTCTTTTGAATCAATCAGATTTAGTTGTCTTAATTTGATTTTTACATAAATTTTGATCTATTGATTTTATATAGTAAATGAATTCTCTATTTATCTTTAGTAAATTAGTTTAATTTTTTTTTAACTTTTTAAACATAAATTTCAGATAAAAATTTAACATATTATATAAATTATAATTAAAAATCATTTTTTAACAAATTAAAATACTCAATAAGAACTTCATATAGAAAGGAAAAACTTTTTAATTATTATTCATATAAATTGTTAAATTTTTCTTTTAAATTCATGTTTAAAAAGTTAAAAAATTAAATTAAATCTACTAAAAATAAATAAAGGGTGTAGTAATTAAGAAGATTTTTTATCTTAGTGAAAATATTCAATAAGAACTACAAATAGAAAGGAAAAAAAAATTTTTAATTGTTATTAATTTATTATATAAAATAGAAAAAATGTACATCAATCTCAATTTTTAAAAATA